AAACTTAGTGCGCTCTGCCTGGCTACATAAGCTAGCTGTTTATATTAGCATTGCCAGGATTTTTGCACCTCCAGAAAAATGGCGTCTTTATAAAAAAATATATGGCGCGCGTTGCATTGTGGGTAGCTGTGACGTCACTGTGTGTGAAAGAAGTACAGTGGTTCCCAAACTTTTTGTGCCCAAGGCACACCAAAGGACAAGTAAAAATCTCAAGGCACACCTATTGTGCAAAATAGCCCTTATAACACGTGTTATCACTCATATCATGTAAAATATCTGTAAATGTGCATAATTATTTACTAATGCCAAATAAAATGTGACAAAGACAACTATATTACTCATGAAATATTTATTAACTAAATATTTCAGAAATTAATTTGAAACGTTATCAAATTAGGCTTCATCAAAGCAGCAACACACTCATTTAAACCAGACAGGTCACAACATTAAAAATGAGGCAAAGGAAACTCAGCAGAAATTCAGCACAGAGAACTGTCAATGCAAGGAAGCTGCATTGTCCATGGTCCTGAACTACAAATGATAAATGTAACATTTCAGCAATCAGCATTGAAACATGTGCTATTGTAAATATTTTTGCCGATTTACAAATTAGTGAGATACATGTGCCTGTCGGGGCGTGCAGAATTTTGTAATCCTTGGTGGCACTGAGGAGAGGGCCACTCGCTTGTCCTGTTCAACAGAGAGCCGTGGCCTCCTGTTGTTCTTGTAAATCAGAGTAGAGAACGCCAACTCCAGAGATGGGGTCGTTACTAAAAAAATGTAATATATTACATATTACTTTTTTTTTAAAAGTAATATATTACACTACTTCGTTACTATCTACATAAAGTAACTCGTTACTTTACTCGCCAAGCACGTACGAACTGCGCATGCGTGAGTGGCAATAACTGTCCTTACCAGCAGGCGGCGGTAGTGTGTATTTGTCATTCAAAACAGGCAACAACCGGAAGACAGAGAAGAAGAAAAGACTACGTGATATAAAAATGGATATAAACAAACAACAAATAGCGTGTGCGGTAGCTTCACATTAGCATGTGTTCTTTGCAGGTGTTTGTTGAGGTTTGACCATAGGGTTTGACGTGGTGTTTACAGCAGTGGATAACAGCTTCTGGCCTGGACACAGTTTGCACCTCACCGTCACATTCCTGTCTATTCTTCGGACGAACTCAAAATAATGGGCATACCTCCACCCCTCGAGAGTTATCGCTGACTCAGCCATGTTTATGCAGCACTGCACGTGGAGATGTGGATGCGCAAATCGCGCAGATTACGTACATATAAACCTACAAAGTACTGATATAGTAAATTAAAGAATAATTATTTCTGTGTAGTTGTATATTGCAATAATAACGTATGGCAGGGTTGCCAACTTTGGGTACCTGGCTGGAGTGAGATTTTGGTATCATGGGTTTGATTACACATATGCGCACAAAATCACTGCTATCGTGTCAGCAGCGGGACCTTAGCATATATATATATAGGATATATATACAATATATACAAATACACAATATTGGACGCAGACTATAAAGGGCACACAGTTTCATTCAGTAATGAAAGTCAAACACATGTTTGTTTCCACTGTTTTATTGTGTGCCTGTCGCGATAAGCAATTAATTGACTTATCGTACGATAAATAAAAATGAACTCGATAAATTTCCATTTACATGAGGATGTGACTAGCAGTTTGAAAGGATGTAGGCCCACTTGAATTACTGTTATATATTATCATTATGTCAGTGGTCTAAAATGGTCATACACCGGTGCTGACAATATTATCGTTTATCGCAATAATTTCCGGGAAAATGTATCCAACAAAATTAATTATCGTGAGAGGTCTATACATGAAACACACAAATCTACAGACTTACTCCAAACTGCCAAATATATTAATTAACACACTCTCACTCTCATATACTCTTTGACTCTATGTTGGCCTATAGTAGAACAATAAGCACCAGACTTTACTTTGTATCATTTCTACCGGATCTTAGATCTGCGCATGCGCAATACGGGTCGGTAGTATTTTTGTTGGGTTTTCCATGGTAGGGCTAACCCATACAGTGGTGGGGCTCAAGTCAGTATTTGCAATGTAATTACATACACGCTCCCCTTGACAGTGAAACGACACGCGTGAGGTTTAGATTATTTCCCTGTCTCAATCCAAATTGAACTGTATGAAATAAAAAGGCACATTTGTCTTGTAGTAAATAAAAAGAGCGACCTGGAGCCAATCCTGTAATTTCCCCACAAGTGAAAGAGTTGACATGCTGAAAACCCAACCCCTGCAGGAGGGTCTGGGGGGATTGTCCCCGAGGAGATTTTTTGAAATACTAACATAAAATACACATTCTGGTACTCTCTTGAGAAGAAAATAAATAAATCTATTACTACACGACATATTAAAAAAATGAATGCCATTTTAGTTTTTCGTTACTTTGTTCTGAAAGCTGAACCTGCTGCTCCTCAAAGAGAGAACAGGGAAGAGGCTGTGAATGACTTTACATTGTGGATAAGGGTGGATAGCCCCCATTGTTCTGTGTGTCAAAATGAAAGACAGCACACACACCTATCAATCATCAAACCGTGAGGTCTTATTTCATTACACGTAATGTTGTATCGATGTATAGAGATTTACTACAGCAAAAGTATTCTCCATCGGGACTTCCTGCAACAACACCACGCCGTTATCTTGATTCTGATTGGCCAGAAGACATTATCAAAGATGTTCTATTAAGAAGACGATCACTACGTGACAAAAGTTTTCAAAACCGTTTCTAGTCTTCGGTATTCTTGTTTTTGGCGTGAGAATAGTTTGGGCAGCGTGAGAGCGTGAGATTGAGAGTGAAAGCGTGTGTCACACGCCAGATGCGTGAGAGTTGGCAACCCTGATGTATGGTTGTCACAAAATCCCACGGCACACCCGGACTTGCCTCACGGCACACCAGTGTGCCGCGGCACACCGTTTGGGAACCACTGCTCTAGTATATGTTTTTTTATTTTCATTCATGTACAATTTTTCATTTAGACATTTTTAATATGAATTTAAAATAAACTCAGTTAGATGTAGTAATTTCCTATACAATTAGATAAGATAAACATGTATTGATCCTTAGTTATAAGCAGGGCTGCACATAACTGGTGCGCAGGTGCGCACCTCCGCCAAAAAAAGAGCACCGGGTCATTTGAAACAAAGTGCATTTGCGTACCAACATTGAGAAGGAGAGAGAGAAGAGAAAATAGAGGAGAGAGGAGAGATGAGAGAAGAGAGAGAGAGAGAGAGAGAGAGAGAGAGAGAGAGAGAGAGAGAGAGAGAGAGAGAGAGAGAGAGAGAGAGAGAGAAAGATATTTGCGAGTTGCATATGAACCATGATATGAACTCAGGGCCGGCCCGTAGCGCTGGCTAGATGTTCGCCTAGGGCGCCAGATCTGGGGAGGTGCTGCGCTGGCAGTTCTGGGAGGGAAAAAACATTTTGACCGTTGGGGCTCATCCTAATTTTTGGCCTTGATGTAACAATATTCACAATTAAGTAAATGTAATACCCTTTTCACCCCGGTTCCATTTGCCCTGTACGATGGGCGCTGTAAGTGATGAAAATGGGGGATGTTGGCTTATCTGGCGCCCGCAGCTCACAGACAAAATGCGAGTGAGCGAGGGAGAGAGGGAGGGTGGTACCAGCGCTGTTGTTATTATAATCTGGTGCCGTGCTAGCTGCTCTAACGGAGATAAGAAGAAGATGTTTCTACAATAATGTGGAGGGAGAGTCCTCTCCTGTCAGACTGAGAGGCTGATACTACAGCTCAGTGAGGTAAAGGACTCTTAGTCTAAATTCAAACGGTTTGGTCACAATTTATGTAAACACATATTTCCAAGGCACTCCTTTGTAATTATTGGGATAAGCAGGTTTTAAATCATTTCAATGTATACTATAGGACAGTAACCAAAAATATCCTTTAAAACTGGAGATAAAAAAAAAATGCATAAATAAATAAATGTTAAGGTAAAATAAGATATGAATGAACAACACAAATAAAATAAGTTACATTAATTTGTTATTGGCTATGGTAGGTTATTGGTTATGTTCACATACTTATTTGATTACATCCACTTGTCTAAGATGACAACAGAGACTTTCGACCCAAACCCAGCTGTTGACTTGTGGATGCAAGCAGCTAATCAGACTCAACCAGAGAGGAAGAAGTAGGCCTACATCATCAGCTACCATGTCTGACAGAGAGGAAGACAGTGAGGAGAACAGTCAGGAGGGTAGTGATGACAGCTTGTAGGATTACTGGTGGTGCTAATGTTGTCTTGTGTTGTGTTCACCTCTGCATGTGTGTTCTGTGTTCACCTCTGCATGTGTGTTCAGTGCCGTGTGTCTGGCAAATAAAGTCAAGACCCCCTCAAAAGTTACGGTTTATTTCATTTTAAGGATGAGCACCAAGCAACATCTCCAGGTGCTCCTTTGAGAACCAGGGCAAAAAAATTATGTGCACCCCTGGTTATAAGAGATGTAAATACTATAATTCCCACCAATTATTATGTCAATATTTGTATGATTTATTTGCTCTCATTTGTGTACGGGTATGTTTTGTATCATTTGATGAATCAGACAGTCTAAATTAAAAAAATCCACAGTAGTGACAGGAAATGTAATACGTCACTTCGTTGTAGGGAGATCATTAGAGATGATCCGGTTCACTTACTAATCCGTACCTGGAGTGAATGAAAGCTGTGTGGAGCTCTGCAGGCCTGTTGCCACGTAGGCTAGCGGGGCTACATGATGGGACATCCCGAGCAGACTGATCCGCTGAAGCAGTGTGTTAGTATCTAATAAAGAAATGCTTAGTGGGAAAAATAAAGAAAACATTCCCATGCAACATTCATTAACGCAACCGGTTGACATGCAGAGAGACCGTTAGAGCAAATACTTTACACAGTACCGATATAATATTGATCTTTTCAGAGCAAGACTTACCGAACCCCGGTATTTTTCCAGGGAGACTAACTTCCCCCTGCTGTTGACTACTTTAAATGTATAAAAGTCTTTCTGTTTGCTCTCAGTGAGGCTGAAAAGAGTCAGCAGCACGGCGAGCGCTCCGGGAAGCATCTTGTCAAACTGCAGTGCCAACACAACAACTTCTCCAAACTCCTGTTGCAGGGGTCTGTAGTGTCTGCTGGGGACCGTGGTCAAGTTACAGACCGGAAGTACACCACTTCCTGATCTGCTTCCGGCTGACTTTCAAAATAAAAGACTCGTTGAAGGATTTGTATTGGGCTCTTTTACACAAGGAGTCAATGGTTGCAGCCAGTGAACTGTAAAAAGAATTGTTGTTGTTTAAGTCAGAGAAAGTCTAACATTTTATAAAATATCATGACAAATGTCATTACAATGTAAGGGGGAATTTTTGTAAATAAAGTATGCACTTCACATAGATTTTTTCCAGTGATTTTTTTGTTGAATTACAACAATTTAAATATTGAATTAATACTTTAAATGTGCATTTTTGTGTAAAAAAAACAATCATTGGTGTTACTTTGTTTTTGAAGTGTCCCTGTATATTATGAAAAAGTACACTTTTTACTTTTGGCAAAGTATCTCAACATTATAAACTGATCATTGCATAATTCTTTTGAACTCTTATTTAGAAGGAGTGCTGAATAGAGAGAGCTGGAACTCTAACAAAAACGTTTCACTCGCAGCTTATTAGGCAAATGAAGGCATGCATGCCATGGCCTACTTTTTCTTCAGGGATAAAACAAATGGACACAAGCCAAAAATACGAAACAAAACCTAATCTCAACCACTCAGTGGCGGTTCTAGACCAATTTGACTAGGGGGGGCACTGGGGGCCAGTTATTTTCTGAGGGGGGCACAATAAATGCAGGACGAAAAAGAAGACAGTATGAAGTAATTGCGCATAAGAAAACAATGCAATACAGTTATTGGTATTTGTTTCAGTACACTTATTTATTTCAGATATATCTTATAGTTATTACTGTTAGCTTCAGCTTAAGTTATAGTACAATTTTTGCACTAACACCATATCATATTTATATACAAATAAAGGCAATGAAGAGTTACATCTCTACTTTACATCTACAATTACACGGATACAATAGTTTAAATCACCTTCAATTATCATGGTAGTCTCTCGAAACGTAGGTTTCAATCAGTCTTTCTTGGATGCAACAGACTCTGATGATCCAAGATGAAAAGTGTTTGTTTTTCGCACGCTTCAGCCGGACAGTGAAAGTGAGTGCACCGCTCTAATGGGTCCTGAGCAGAGGTTGCGCTAGACTTTTTTGCTGCCCGTCATTTGACGGACAGGATCGTAAAACTTCCGTCAAAATCCAGAATCACCCGTCAGCCTTTACACAACTCTGACGGGGGGGAGCATGCTCGTGAACTGTCAACGGGGGGGGGGCGGGGGAGGCGACACAGTTCACATGCGCCGTGTTATGCATGGCTGCTGCACCTCGCGGGAGCGTGCACAGCGTAAAGCCAAACTTCATTTCAATGATTTGTACGGCACAGTTAGGTTTGGAAACGGTGTAATTTCCTTTTTGGAGGGCATGCATAACACGGCATAACACCGGAGCCTCGCTGCGGGGAAACTTTGGCGCTGTTCCGAGTTTGTTCTAATCTGTCAAAATGTCAGATTTGTCAGATTTGTCCGTCATTGTTAAAAGAAATCCGTCATAGACGGAAAATATTCGGTTAACGCGACCTCTGGTCCTGAGTGCACCACTCTAATGGGTCCGACTAGAATGATGAATAATGTTAGTTCCGTCTATTCCCTCATTCAATAAATCGTGTAATAAATCATAAATATTTCATTTTTTTCACTTTTCATTTTTAGGGGGGTCAGAGGTCAGTGTTAGGGGGGCACTGCCCCCCCCCCCTAGAACCGCCCCTGCAACCACTAGCTGTGTGTTCATGCGCAGACTAGGACTGATGCATAGAATGAAGTGGTGAACAATACAATGTAAGGGGGAATTTTTGTAAATAATGTATGCACTCCACATAGATTTTTTCCAGTGATTTTTTGTTGAATTAAAACAATTTAAATATTGAATTAATACTTGAAATGTGCATTTTTGTGTCAAAAAAACAATCATTGGTGTTGCTTTTTTTTAAGTGTCCCTGTATATTATGAAAAAGTACACTTTTTACTTTTGGCAAAGTGTCTCAACATTATAAACTGATCATTGCATAATTCTTTTGAACTCTTATTTAAGAGGTGCTGAATAGAGAGAGCTGGAACTCTAACAACAACGTTTCACTCGCAGCTCATTAGGCAAATGAAGGCATGCATGCCATGGCCTACTTTTTCTTCAGGGATAAAACAAATTAACACAAGCCAAAAATACGAAACAAAACCTAATCTCAACCACTAGCTGTGTGTTCATGCATAGACTAGGACTGATGCATATAATGAAGTGGTGAACAATACAATGTAATACTTGTTTTCGGACGACAAATAATTTGTAAAAAATATTTTTCTGTCCCTATTTTTATATTTGGAAGAAAATAAAAAGTCAATAAATGTAAATGCTGTATTTACTGTTAAGAGTTTCTGAGCGGTATTTGAATCCAGCACGCCCCTCTTCATCATTACTGGCATTCCCACAATGCAGCGGGGTGATGTATTAACATGGCGTCAATGGTTGCTATTTTGAGCAGGGCCGTGGGATTTGAAAAACATTATGTCTAACAGAACCATGGAGGCAGCTAAACAATAATCCAAAATCAATTTAAGAGCCTGAAAGTAAGTCAATACGTGCTCCTGTGTGTTTTTCTTGTCGAGGGGGTGTTTTCTGTGTTTAGTTACTCGCTGCTGTGTGGCAGCTGGGTGCCAGTGTTATTTATCTGCCCGTTAACGTTAGCTAGCTCAGCCGGACGACCGGGGGCAGCTAATGGTAGCTTAACGAAGACAGCTAAAGGGTCCGCTGGAAGTCACCGTGAATCGTTCCTATAACAGAGGAAATGCCTTTCGGTTTTAATGGTGAGCATTACTTTTAGTCGGTAATGGCTGCTTTCGTGGTGAACGCCTCTTTCGTTTCTGTTTTGGTAGTGCAGCTAACGTTAGGTCACGTTTATCTAAGTCAGTCTCCCCATCAGTTTCGTTTCGCCTGAACTACCTGAAATAAACATTAGCCATTTTTCCAAACAGTCACGTTTGAGACGTCTAACCATAACCCAATATTTCCCTGGATTTATCTCTAAAACACCGACCATGTAAGGTTTTGGTACGGAATACACTAAGTTAGGGGAAACGCTCTTGAACACAACATCTGTAACATTACCTGTCTGCTAAAGAGATGTGTTGTGTTCAGGGCTCTCCGTTTTACCTTGATAAAAGCCGCTCTTCTTTAATGATATAAAGTCAGTTAAACGCAAGAAATGTTATGCTAAACACTTTTTTAAAGTATGTTTAATAGAGAAAATAAATAAAAAGTGCAACTTAATTATAAATACTCGTTGCTTTCATGACTTTAAGAAACCACATAGACGAGATAAAGATACATTGTAAAAATGGTATTTAACCAAGATCCCACTGCTTTTCACAAATACAGTTGGTCATGTTAGTGAGGTGTAACTTTCCCATGTTTGTCAACCTCAAAATTACTTCTGATTAAAAAGACGACACCAACACTTAAATTGTTCCATGTTTTGTTATATTGTAACCACACCATGTAATTCAGTAGTATGTGATTTTTAATTAAATGGTTTATTATTGAACATACCAGTATTATCTAACTATTTAATCAAATTCCAAACACTTGTTCCCCCATTTGAATAATAACAATTTAGTAGATGCAGAAATACTGTGTGAAACATTTGTACAAAACACATAATCACAACTTTTTACATTTTGGTTGGCCATATTATTTTTATTGTAAGACCTATACTTTCCTAATTTTCATTTGAGCGTTTCTTCTTCTTTTTATATTAATTTCTGTTGGCATAATAGACAAATGTGTACAAACCACAGTAAGACACGTGAACTGTAAATCAACTCGTGTATTTGGTTAGTTAGCATCACCTGAATTGGTAAACAAACCATACTGTCCAAATATATTCATGCTAATTAGACTTATAGCTATAATTTCCTCTCTTTTCCTTACCAAGGCTTTAGTGGACCTACCTCCGTCATCGTCCTCAGCGTGGTGTTAACTCCACCAGCAGGACAGGAGGGATGGACGAGTCCAAAAGTCCAGTAAAAACAAAACTGTCTCAACCGAGGGGACCCAAAGCTTCGTCCGCTGAGAAGTCTAATAAAGAGGCTCCTGCGCAGAGAGAGGCTCCCAAGTCTGCAACCCGCAGCAAAGGAAACCTTACTGCTACAAAGGATGAACATAATATAGGCAGTCAGGGAAGCCGCTGGCCAGGCAAGACCTTCACAGACATTCCCCAGGACAAGAGGAGAGGACGGCCCCCCAGGACAACGAGACTGACTGGAAGAACAAGTTCAGGGGAGAGGGGGAAAGGCAAAGCTCCAGGCTCGCAACAGAAGCTGGTGGCACACGCTCCGGACTCCAATGTGTCTTTATCTGCAGACAACAGCCCCTTGGCAAACAGAGAAACCAGCTTTCCTGTAGGGCCTGGCACACGTAAAAAAGACTTCACAGAGCAGGCCAGAAGCTCAAGTGCAACTCCAGCAAAGGAAAAGTCCTATGGTAGGTTCTCACAGTTAATGTTCTTAGAGGATGAATCCTTCTTTATTAAATACTAGTGAATTAAACGTTGTCTCTGTTGTTTGTAGGGGGGAAAGCTGCTGCGTTGATGCATCAGCCTGTTGAAGAGGTGAGGCCGACTGTTGAAGAAGGGCCCCTGACAGAGCAACAGCTGGGCCTCCAACAGGCAGAGGAGCGCCTCTACAGAGACTACATCCATCGCCTGCTGAAAGTGAGGAAACAATGTAGTCACGCCTGATAAAGAGGAAACATATCACATGACACAGCTCATGTCATGTACTGCATTAGTGCTTCATAATTATGCTTTGTTACTTAAAAAACAACATCTGAGATGTTAAATGCCTTTTTATTTTTGAATCCAAAGTTCTGGTACGGCTGTTATATCTTGAGACAAAATAAAAGATGGGGAACTAGAAAATGTAAGGATGGAGTCTAAAGAAGTCTTGCTCTTTTTGTGAAAAAGGTAAATAATG